CTCAACGTGGGCTTCCTAGAAGCATTGAAGGAGGACGCCACCTACGACTGCTTCATCTTCAGTGATGTGGACCTGGTCCCCATGGATGACCGCAACCTGTACCGCTGCGGCGACCAGCCCCGCCACTTTGCCACTGCCATGGACAAGTTCGGCTTCCGGTGAGGGCTGTCTTCTCAGCTAGACCCAGACCATCCTGTCCCTGCACTCCCAGGCCCAGTGCCCTGCTTGCTCCTGGCTCCTGGCCCCAGCCCAGACCCTTCTGACTGGGCTAGATCCTCCCTGGTCCCAGCTGCACATTCCTGCCACTCCCTCTCTGTCCTTCGCCTTGAATCCCCTTGGGACTCTTACTGACACCTGCCATCCCATGCCATAGGCTGCCCTATGCTGGCTACTTTGGAGGTGTGTCAGGCCTGAGTAAGGCCCAGTTTCTGAGAATCAATGGCTTCCCCAACGAGTACTGGGGCTGGGGTGGCGAGGATGACGACATCTTCAACCGGTGAGTAGGGATGGGATGGGGAGTAGACTGGCTGGGTGAGGGTGTGAGCTGCAGGCTGTTGGGGGGGCTCCTTGCCCTTCCTGGTGCCTGCTCCAGTCAGTCTGTCCCCATCCTCAGGATCTCCCTGACTGGGATGAAGATCTCACGCCCAGACATCCGGATAGGCCGTTACCGCATGATCAAGCATGACCGGGACAAGCATAACGAGCCCAACCCTCAAAGGTGACCCCCTCCAGCACCCCTGACCCCAAGTGCCCCCAATCCCTGACACCCTTGAGGTGGCCTCCAAGTATCCTTGACCCCTGAGAGGTGACTTCCAGGCCACTGATTCTCAGAGGTGATCCCAAGGCCCTAGACCCCTGACTCCTAGAGGTGACAGCTGGCACCCCGATCCTTGTCCCTCACCCCCACCTCAGTTTCAGCCCCAGATATTGCCCACCCCTGGCCTGATGCCTAGAGGTGACTAGAAATGGAAGTCAGGGCTCATTGAGTAGATTACATTCCTGTTGGTGCCCTTGCAGTCCTCATTTGTGTACCTTACAAGACCTCTGCTTATACTGGCCCTGCCAGAGCAGATAGGATGAAAGATAGCAGGCACTGGGCACAGCTCCTGGGGAACCTGACAAAGGTGGCCTGAGCAGTGTGGGACAGGGCATGGAAAGACAGTGCCAACACCCCTGAGGTTGGAGGAGGCAGCTCCATTTCTTAGGAAGTGGCCACATTTGGTGCCTGGGGCTGGCGGGGAGAAGGTCCTAAAGGGTGTGTGAATATAGACAAGGGCTTCCTGGGCTTCTTGCTGCTCTGTGACTGGTGCCAAACCTTATGGGGACAGGGGACCCAGAGCAGTCATCCCCAATCTCTGCTCTCCCTCATGAAGTTCATTCTAGGCAGGGAGACAGATAATTACAGCACAAGGAGATCAGGGCAAAATGCTGTCCTGGAAGAAGGGGTAGTGATATGGGAGACTTCCTGGGGGGGTGATGGCAAACTGGAATTTGAAAAGAGTTATTCATTCAGCAGATGTTTGTCTCATGCCTACCTTGGGCACAGTGCTATATTCACCAGTCTGATGGAGGAGCCCTGTGTGGATAAAGGGAATCATATCTGCAAGAGTCTGGAATGTGAACATGCATGGTATATACTGAGAGTCTGAGACTGTTTGGCTATAAGATCTCTGAAGGCTGGTAGTGACAGGAGGGGAGTCAGTGCTGGATATTAGAGGTCTGAATACCAACAGGTTGTGAGTTTAACTTTTGTCTCAGAGAGACTGGGGAGTCATAGAAGGGAGCAGGGGGAGGCAGGATCAGATTTGTGTTTGGGTGGCATACTCTTGGAGTTTGAGGAAGGTGAAGGGCTGGCCTGGCTGCTGAGTATAGCAGGAGAGGAAGTGGACTGGGCCTGAAGGAATTGCTGGGGCCTGTGGGGGAATGCTGGGGTAAGGACCAGGGGCGGGGGTGTGCTGTGTTCTCAGCTTGGACACCAGGGTTTTCTGCTCTGAATCCAGGGTATAGGAATGGGGGCGGTGGGCTGCAGCACTGATGCTGGGTTAGTGTTTGGCAGAAGCCTGAGGCACCAGGGGTCAGGGAGCTGATGAAAAAGTGATTCAGATAAAAACCCTGGGCCGCAGGGAAGGGAAGACAGCCTGGGAGAAGAGGGCCTTTAGGGCAGCAGCTAAGGGAGCATGCTCAATACTGGGTGGCTCAGGAGAGGGATCTGAACTGAGCTCAGGACCGAGAGGATGAAAACATTTGAGATATGGGAGTGGAGCTCTACAAGTACATGTGAGGAGCCTTGGTCCTGTTTTGGGACTAGCTTGTCTGGGTGGGTGCCATCATCAATTAGTGATGTCTGCCTTGGGTGTGGAATGGAAAGGTTGCAAGAAACTGTTCGCCCTAGGAACTCTGTAGATGGTGGTTCTGTCTACCTAGTTGCTTTTGCCTCAAATCCAGGAGTTCTCCTGGATTCTTCTTTTTGTCACTCTATGTATCCAAACCATTAGCAAGTCCTAACACAACTGAGCCCATCCACCTTCCCACTTTACTACCTCTTTCTTTTTTCTTTCTTTCTTTCCTTCCTTTTTTTCTCCCCAGGGTCTTGCTCTGTTACCCAGCCTGGAGTGCAGTGGCATCATCACAGTTCACTGCAACCTCCAACTCCTGGGCTCAAGTGATCCTCCTGCCTCAGCCTCCCAAGTAGCTGGGACAACAGGCATGACCACCACGCCCGGCTAGTTTTCTAATTTCTGTTGTAGAGACAGGGTCTTGCCATTGTTCAGGCTGGTTTCGAACTCCTGACCTCGAGCAATCCACCCGCCTCGGCCTCCCAGAGTGTTAGGATTACAGGCATGAGCCACCTCACCCGGTTGCCCTTTACTACCTTAACCCTAGTCCAACCTCTGATCTCACTTGAGCTATCACGATGGCTTCAAACTGGTTTCCCTGCTTCCCCCTTGTCCCTCTGTAGTTCATGGCCTGCCCTGCAAAGTGGGTTAAAACCCCTCAGTACCGTCTCACTCACAGAATAAAATATGAGCTGCTTACTCTGACTTACAGAGCCCTGCCCAAGTGTAGTATACTCCAATCCAAGCTGGTATTATTTTCTTTTTCCACTTGACCATTAAGGTTTAGCCACTCAGCTGTGCACAGTCTTACTCCCAGTTTAGGGTCAGCATGTGCTCTGACCTCTGCCTGGGCCCCTCTTCCCCTGCCCCTCAGCTCGATGTCACATACCCACTCCTTCTAAGGCAGCCCTCTTATCTCCCTTGGCACTCTGACCTCTTCCTTAACTGTTATCTGACTACCATAGAGAAGCAGACATGCCTGAAGAAGGACCTGTCTGTCCTGGCCTTGACTGTAGCCCTAGTACCAGAGCACAGCCTGGCACATGGGGCTGCTTAATAAGTAGCTAGTGAAGGGGTGACTGAAGGATGAGGAACAGAAGATGGCACAGGTTTGGGAGTAAAGATGACACAGCTGATGTAGAACACATTGCATTTGAGGTGCCTGTAGGGTGCCTCATGTCTGGGTCTCAGGCTTAGAAGGAAAGTCTGAGCGGAGAGGTTTGTGACGGTGTCACAATTCTGTTTTATGACCTAAGGGGATGAGATCTGTTTTGAAGGCAGATGCAAGAGCAGAAGGGCTCCTGCCCAGTCAGCGCTGGCAGGAGCCTGGATGTTGTAAGCCTTTGACCCAGAGATCCCTCATTGGGTTTGGTGTTTAGCCCTGATCCAGACCATTTCATCCTGTTTAGGTTTACCAGGATTCAGAACACGAAGCAGACTATGAAGCGAGATGGCATCGGGTCAGTGCAGTACCAGGTCTTGGAGGTGTCTCGGCAACCGCTCTTCACCAATATCACAGTGGACATTGGGCGGCCCCCACCATGGCACTCTCGGGGCTGATGCTAATGGACACAGGCTCTCAGTGCCGAGGATTGCCTGCCAGAGGACTGACTTACAGCCTGGCTGGTGGCTACTCTGTGGGGGACCCCTAGGACTGAGACTGGGCTCTGTTTTCTGAGAGTCTTCATTAGGCCTCCCCCCTCAGCTGCACCTGGAAGTTTCAGAACCCACTTTGGAGGGCTTCCTGCCTGGCAGGCCCCTCAATTGTGGCCCTCTCCAGGGTCAACCCTCCTTTCTGCCCCAATCCCCCCAGCCCAGCCCAGGTCACTGTCAGGGTCGGGCCAGCCCCTGCACTGCCTCACGGAGTGGCCTGGGCTAGGTCGCTCCACCTCTCTGTGCCTCAGTTTCCCCCCCTTGAGTCCCCTAGGGCCTGGAAGGGTGGGAGTTGTGACTAGAGGGCAGTGTCTCTTCCAGGGGGAATTCTCAAATCTGAGGAACCCCTTACTCCAGGGGAGGGGAAACTTTTTTCATTCAACTGGCAGGGGACAAGCTTTGGTGTGCCCCCTGCTGAGGAGCAGCCCCAGGAGGGGACCGGAGAGGGTGCTGTGTCGCTGCCTGGGGTCTTGGGGTTGGTTGGCCTATGCATGGGGGGCGGGTGGGGCTTGGACCAGTCTGGTTCCCGCCTCCCTGTCTCAAGAAAGGAGGCAGTAGCCCCAGGGCCGGTTTGTGTTTGTACATTGCACAGAAACTTGTGTGGGTGCTTTAGTAAAAAACGTGAATGGAGCAGTCCCCTTGTCTGTTTGGGGATGGGGATCCGGGTCCCTGGACCTACTTACCCCGAATGTGTTGCGGTGGAAGGACACCTGGTCGGGGGCTGTCCTGATTCTCCGCTGGCCCTAGGGAGAAAAGTTCACGCTGCTGCTGCCTCCAGGCCAGTCGAGACAACGAAGTAATAAACCTAGTGGGCTGAGGTTTCTCAATTCTTACACCTTCCCCGAGGCCGGAGTGCCCGGGGATGAGCCCGAGGTACTGGGGGTCAGGGCTCTGGGTGGCTTCCACGCACCAGCACCGCTCCCGCCGAGCTGGGATTCTCAGCCTGCCCGCCGCGCGCCGGGCCTGGCGGGGGCGGGGCCGGCGCCTCCGAGGGGCGGGGCCTGGGGTCGCGGCGCGGTTTCCTGGGTGACGGCCGCGCGGAAGAGGTAGGGTAGGACCCGGGTTCCCACTTCCCGGCTCCGGGGCGCCGTGGCCTGGAACCGCGGCTCCCGAGAGTCAGTCGGAGAGGGGCAGAAGAGACAGCGCCAGGGACTGGCGGCTCTGGACAGGGTAATTCCAGCGCGGGGGCCGGCGGCGGGACTTGGGTGGGGCTTGGGGGCGGGGCCCGGAGTCGGGCGGGGCGTGAGTGGGCGTGACTCGGGCGACCCGCGGGCTAGCAGTAAGTGCCGCGCTCCGAACTGCTGCCCCGCAGGTGTAAGCGGGGCACTGTGGCGCTGGCGGGCCATGCCCCGGGACTCCCCGTCGCTGTGGGAGCTGGTGGAGGAGCACGTTCCGCTCCCGGAGCGGCCCGAAGTGAAGAGGATTCTGGGGGAGGCGGCGGTGGACCTGAGCCTGGAGCTGTGGGCGGAGGTGGGGAGTGGGAGGGTGGGCCATGCCCCAGGCCTGCCCCACCGCTCGTCTGATTTCTCTCCTCCTCCAGTCCCTGGCCTTGCCCGGTAACTCCTGAGGTCTTTTCAGACCTTGCTGTCCGCCCTATCCTTTACTCCCCCAGCCCCCCACCCCACTCCTGTCACCTCCCTCCCCAGTTGCAAGGCGTTCCAGCTCTGCTTGCAGGTGGCGATGTTACGGGCACTGCTCCAAGAGGCTCGATCTTCCCAAACCCCCAGCTCACACCCTATCTCTGACCCCTCCTCTCTTCTGGCACCGCCGCCGCCGCTAAGGGACCTCGTGCGCCAGGAACTCCGGCTGCTGCTCCAGGGTCTCCGCCATAAAGCCATCTGCGAGGGCAGGTGGGAGCCTCAGCCCTGGGCCTGTCCCTGCTCCTGACAAGGAGCCAGGGTCGCCTTTCCTGTGGTTTCCTGAAAGGAGCCCCTCACCTTCCTTCATGTGTACCTTCTGCAGGGACCAGGCCCAGGCTTGGGCCCAGTATAGTCCCAGGGTCCTGCGCTTTGCCTTGGAGGAGCCCAGATATGATTTGCCAGAACGAGAGATATTCCAGACGAGAGCTGGTGAACCCAGGTAAAGTGCTGGTAGGAGAGGAGGGATCTGTCCCCACTTGTCAGTGGGCCCCAGCCAGCTGGTGGGTTCCACCTGGCTCCATGGAGGAGCTGGATGCTATTATAGCCACTGTGGTAGAGATTAGGATGTGAGGGCTATGGAAACCCAGAGGTTTCCTAACCTGACACCTAACCAGGCTGGGCACAGGCAAGGCTTCCTGGAGAAAGTGACTGGTTTGATCTGGGTGCTGTAGTATGAAAATCAGTGTTCTAGCAGATGAAAGAGAGAAGAGCTTTGCAGGAAGAGGGAGGAAAGGAGGCCATGTCCAGTGGGCAGTTGTTCCTCAGGCCTAGAGAACAGCATTGAGGGCGGGGCTAGAGCAGTAGGGACAGATGAGAGAGGGGGTGGTATTTACAGCTGAGACTGAATGAGATACATGTTCATAAGAAGTGGATGGTAACAGCTTCTTATTCTAATCCTCACACAGCCCTGGGAGGTGGGCAACACATCCCCATTTTACACACAACTAAAGTTGAGAAAGAATAAGTGATTTGCCTAAGGTTGCACACAGTGAAGGTTGGCAGTTGCAAACCCAGGCTCCCAAACTCTTACTCATTGCACTATACATGTTGCCTTTGTGAGAAAACACACAGAATTGTCTAGGAGAAATGGTATTTGTGTCCTGAAGACCTGAGGTGGGCAATATGGGGAGAGTGATGTTGATTTCATCTGCCAGCAGCAGTCACAGGGACCTCAGCATTTTGAAGGACCAACTGAATGTGTCCAACATTCATCAGGTTGCCAGACACCTGAGGTGAGGCCTAGGGGCACCTGAGGTGAGGCCCAGGGGCACCTTTAGGTGTAGGTGGGGGTGGAGACAGGACAGGAGACAGGGACGGGTCCTGAGGTGCTGGGGCAGCATATCTGGTGTCAGGCCTAGTTGTACGACAGAGCCAGTTGCTGCAGAGCTAATGAGGTTGCTACCAGGAGGTAGCCAAGGACAGATGTCAGAGGGGCCAGGGCCCCAGGAATTTATCCTGACATAGGGTAGGGGTGGAGGGTAGCCATGAAAGGCGAAAGGGTTTTAAGCAGGGGAAGGGCTGGGATGGAGACAAGAAGAGTCACAGGCTAGGGCAATAGTGCAGAAGAGAGAGGATGGTGGCTGCCAGGCTGGGAGCTGTGAGGTGGGCAAGGAGGAGACACATCCTCTCCAGAAAGAGACTGATGGGGGCTGGAAGTTTATGTTGGGGCAGCTGCCAGGCAGCAGAGAGCAACATGGGCTGAGAAAGTAGGGCTGGAGGGGCTCTCAGTGAGGCTGGAGGTTGGGGCCATGTGGTGGACTTGGTAAGACTTGGTCCTGTGACTTTGGGTCTGGCTGCCATGATTGTGTCCCAGGGGCCTCCTGGAAGAGGAGTGTCGCACCTTGGAGAGGGAGATCCCCATCCTGCAGGTGAGCCGCAGCCCTGGGCCTTCCCCCAGAGCCTCAGTGCTGAGCGTAAACACATGCTTCTCGCCTGGGTGTATGCGTGTGTCTTTGTTCATATGTGCACATAAAGGTTGTGTGACTCTTGCATCCATTTCTCGCTTGTGCACATTGTGTTTGTGTGAAATCCTAGAAGCCCAGGATTCTGGTTGAGCGCTTAAGTCCAGCATATTTAGACTAACCTGCTGCATTTGCCTCAGGTCTTCCGCCTCCTTCACCTAAGTCTGGGTACAGGCCCCACCACCATCTCACTAAACTCAGCTTTCTGGCAGGGCTGGAATTCCCTTGGGGGCTGCCCTCATGGCGGTTGGGCTGGGGGCGCTGCACAGGCTCATTCCTGGGCCCTGTCCTAGGGATGTTGGCCTCGGTATCCTCCCTTGTCCCACCCCTCCCTTAAGGCTGGGCACTGACCCAGCTCTCCCTGCAGCACTGCTTGGAAGAGGAGTCCTTGCGGGCTTGCCACCCCTCTGAGTCAACCCTGGAACCCACCCTGGCAGGTGAGAACCCCAAGCAGGCCCAGAGCACCCGGCCTCTTGCTCTCTACCATGCACTTGCACACACCCTGGAAGAGCTGGGCACCGTGACTCAGCTGTATCTGTCCTCCAGAGCTGAAGGAACAGAAGAGTGCCATGGAACAGGAGCTGCAGGCATCTCTGGGGCCTTCTTGTGTCTCTCCCAACCACAGGTAAATCAACGCAGGTAGATGGCCAGGCAGGGTGGGCTGAAGGATCAGGTCACCACCTCCTTACAGTACCTCCTTCCTGTCCAGGCAGTGGCCCTTGGGGTCCTCCACTCAGGGCCTCAGACCCCCTCCTTGCCTCCGTGGGGCTGCTGGAGTTTGGGCTGCGCCTCTCCAACACCACCTGCCTACACCTCCTTTGGAGCGCTGTCCCCGACCTGGAGGCCAGGCCGCCAGCTGCCGCTGGGGACGGCAGCTTCAGTGCAGACCCAGGGAAGGGCCAGCTTCCACCCCAGTGTCCGGTGCGGTGCCCCAGGCGCCAACCTGAAGGGCTGGTCACGAAGTGGGCTTCTGTTCCTGCTGGAATGCGCCCTGTCTGCTGCTGCCTCTCAGCTGCCATGGCCCAGCCAGCTTCAGCTGGAGTCTTGGAAGCGCTCTCACCAGGACCCCAAGGCTGTCCGTCTGTCTGGCCCTTGCCCCACCCCCTCGCCAGATCCCTGTATCTGGGGCTGTGCGGCTGGGCATCTGTCCCAGTGCTCAAAGCCTTTGGCCTTTCTCCTGTAGACAGAGGTCCCATCCCAGCCCTGACTCTTGTTCCCTGGGGGCCCCAGACAAAGCACAGCAGCAGCTCAGAGACAGGAATAGAAATTTCATTAAAATCTATGGACTTTAAAATCCTAGTGGTGCACGATGGGCGGGGGTGGGCGGTGCACCGTTATTGCTACAGAGGATTAGAGGTGGCGTGGCAGGGGCTGTCACTGCACAGAGGGCACAGAGGACGGACAGACAGACACTGCAGTGTTGGGAGAAGGAGCTCTGACTCCAGAGAGGGGATGGGAGCACATGGGCTGGGGCCATTTGGCACGTGAACAAGGGCAGCATGTTTGGGAAGACGGGGCCTTTAGCCTGGTTGGGGGCAAGAGGGTGTCGTGCAGGGTCCCCTTCCCTAGGGTTCTGGACTTGAGCCTCCTGTTGAGCAGTCCCCACCCCTGTCCCCCAGAAACAAGTGCTTTGGGCAGGCTGCTGGGTCACAGTCTCTGTTGGCTGGGCCTGACAGCCAGGACTGGGACGAGGGGCAGAGACCCCAGAGCAGCCGAGTGAGGTGCAAGCAGGCCTGGAAGACGGATTGGACCCGAGGCTGGGGGTGAGGGGTGGCAACCACAGATAATACAATTTTTACAAAAATAATTACACAGATAAACAGGGCTGGGCAGTGCAGCCTGACAAGTAACACTGCGCACCCCACAGCCCCTCCCCCTGCCCCCTGGTAGGAAGATCCAAATTTGCCTGGGCAGAGGTTGGAGTCTACTCAGAGGGCAGGAACACTGGTCATGGGGCTGGAGGCCCAAGGAGGGGACAGGTGGGGACCTACCCAGACCTCAGCTCAGGGCAGAGTGCGAGGGCATCAGAGGCCATGTAAAGCCAGGCAGGCCATGGAGGTCCTGGCCCGAGACCCCTCCAAAGTGCTTTGGGCTCCCTGGCAGCCCTCCCCTCGTGACCCCCACCCCCAGCTGCCATCTTGGCATCCAAAGGACGTGTAAACACTGGGGACACGAGCACAAATGACCACACTAGCAGTGGTGGCCAAGGTGACAGCAGCCGTCCTGGCCAGGGTGTGGCAGGGGGCAGGCAGTGACACCTGTCCACTGCCTCCCCAGTCTCTGTGGTGGGAGCACAGGGTGGTGGTGGGGCCACTCCCTGGCAGCTGTGCTCATATCCGGGAGTCCTGCAGACGGCCAGAGCCATTACTGCCCACCATGGGGATCTGGGCCTTGTCCGGGTGCAGTGGCTGGACCTCGAACCCATCTTCAGGAGAGGGGGCCATGGTGGGGGCATAGCGCCCAGTCCGGTGCTCCAGGAGGGCAGGGCCCCAGTCTCTGCTTGGCTTTGTGGCATTTTTCAAACGCTGCATGAGAGGTAGGCATGGGACGCAGAGGTGGGGGCAAGTCAGAGGGAGCCTTTAAGCTCCATCCATCCCCCCCTCACCTGGCTGCCCAGCCCTCACCTGGAGGAGGGTGTCCCCATCTGTGCGGCAAAGCTGGAACAGGGCGTAGAGTGGGATGCACAGGACAGAGGACAGAGCCATGAGGAAGCCGATGGCCACGGCCCAGCCCGGGTACTGGTAGTGGTTGTAGGTGATGGGCCGGTACTGGATCACCGTGAAGACGAGAATGAACTGCAAGGAGAGGGTGGGAGCGGGCGTGAGGCCCATCCAGAGCCCCACGCAGACCCCAGGCATCCCTCCTATCAGTACCCCTTCCTCTGCAGCTCCCCAAGCTAGAAAGAGGCATTTCAGGCAGGGCAGGGGTGACTGTCAACATCCAGGCAGTGGAAGAAGCAGGCGGAGCTGGGATCTGGGGCACGGTGGGCAGGCAGGCACCATGGGAGGGAGAGGTCTTTCTTCACCATAGTCCTCAGCTGGCCAGACAACAGTCAAGCTGCTGCTGCCTCTGGGAGCCAGTCAGTTCTGCTCAAAGACTCACTGTGGCTCCCTATTTCCTAGTGAGGTAAGGAGGCCAAATCCCCAGCTTTAGGCTTTCGCCTTGCAAAGCGCTCTCGGCTTGTCTTGCTGCCACCTTGTTTCAGCATTTCCCTTACACCCAGCACTTCCCACCCTCTCTCCCTTTACTGGGAAATCACCCTCTGCACCTGCCTCTGTCAAACCCTAAGCCAGTGCCACCTCCTTTAAGAAGCCGCCCCAGGTTACCCCGTCTTCTTCTGAAGGGCCTCTCAGTGGCATTTGCCATCTGCTTCCCTTAGAGTTACTTTGTTTAGTGTTTCCTGCAGACCTGGGAGCTCCTGGGATTGCATCAGCTCAGGGTCTCCAGTGCCCAGTACGGTGCCTGGCACAGTCTCATTTGTTGATTTGAATGGATTTGTGCAGAAGGCAGAGGGGGATGGGGAGAGGGCAGGGTGAAGCCCTGTCTGTCTATGGCTGTGGAGACAGTGACATTCAGTCCGGGGAGGCTCCAAAGGCTGGAAGTGGTGAGTGGTATGCTGTAGATGCTCCTGGAGCCTCTCTGGAGAGAGACAAGTGAGATGGGAAATAAAGCCTGCGGCTACGACAACAAAAAAAGTGAAAGGAGGCAGAGGGAGGGGCCTGTGGCTCACCAGCCACCCAGAGAGCTTCGGGGGTGCCTTGGTATACCAGGAGGGCTCAGCATCCTCCTCCTGGGACTTCAGCCATATCCTGGAGCTCGGGCTCCTCCGGCCTTCCTTGTGACCAAACTCTAGTGTGCAAGACCCACATCCAAACAGGGGGACCCCTCCTGGGACGCTGCACACAAGTTTCCCGGAATGGATACCTATCCACGTGTGGACAAATCCCTTATTTGAGTTGACAGAAGGACGGAGTTTGTCAGAAAGAGCTTTTCAGAAATATAAAGAAGCAAAGCCCCAAAAGGAACCACAACAGCACAGAAACAGATGTGCCCATGGAGCCCAGAGCCCCCGGTAAAGGTAACTCCGGCCCGGCTTCCCAGGCAGAGAGGGCACTGCCCGCTTTGCTGCACCCTCGTGGAGATGCCAGACCCAGGCCGAGGCTGCACCTGCGGAGCCTTCTTGTGCCTGCCTTCTTGCTGGCTCCTGCCCCTGGCAGGTGCCCCAGGCGTGTCCCCAGGACGGCACTGTGTTCTGAGTGTGGGGAGCACGCTCCCTGCAGAGCTGCGCAGGGCGCGGTGCTGCTCGGTGGTGCCTGCCCTCCCCAGCCTCCCCACGACAGGAGACTTCCGCTCCTCCTGTTTCAAGGCTGGGCCAGTGGCCAGAGCCCGTGCCTGTGCCAGGCTTGGGAACATCCCACACTCCTCAGCCCTCTGTGGGCCTTTTCATTCAGAAACATAAGCCACAGTGGAAGTGCAGTGCCCAGCCCCCCTGCGGCTCTGAGAAACATGACAAGAGTGTGACTCCGGACACTGCTCTTGCTGCGAGGCCAGCCCTTTGTCACTCAGAGGCAGCCTTGCCTCTTCTCTGTGGAGTGACCATCACCCCTTCTCCTCTGCTTCCCACCCGGACAGGAGTCGAATCTATGGATTTAGCCCTGGGCCACCCTCCCGCCGTAGAGGTGCCTCTAGCGCAGCGCTGGCCCAGCCCACAGCCTCTGAACCGGAAGGCCTGATCTGAGTCATTGGCTCTGCCTCTTACTAGCTGTGGAACCATGGACCAATTACTTAACATCTCTGTGCCTCAGTTTCCTCATCTGTAAAATGGGGTTAACAGTTACACTTTGGAGAGTGGTATTGGGAGTTAATATATGAACAGTGTGCAGAAAGTGCCTGGTTCCTTGCCATGGCGGGTCCTCCCACTGATTCAGCTCCTCTATGGGAGTTTCCCAGCTGTTGAACCAGCCCCCTTCACTGCTAGGAGGCTTCCGGCCTTGCCCCTGGTGCAGAGCCACCGCCAGCCTTCTACAACCTGCGCTGCAGGTCCTGGGGCTGCTTCTGGGACGCTCACACCTTCATACCACACAGCCACGCTCCCTGAGCACCTCCTCTGTGAGGGCCGGGAGGTGAGATCAGCGAGGTACGGGCGGCACCGATATTAATAATGACTGCTGAGGCCCCTCTAGGGACTCCAGGCAGGAGCACCAGGGAGGGAAGGCTGACTCATTCGACCTGCTGCCAGCCAATTTCCCCCTCTAAGCCTGCGCAGTGTCGTCAGTCAAACAGGGCTCAGCGTTCCCTTCCTAACCCGGCCAGGTCTGGGTGGCTCTGAGTCTCACACACCCATCCGACCTCCCTCAGCCTCCCAGTGGCCACAGTTGTGGGTGCGGAGCTCCTGCTCTCTCCCTTTGCTGGTTCCCAAGAGAAGGACACCTGGCCTAGGGGCAGCAGGGGAAGGGAGGGCCAGCCAAGGAACTCACAAAGATGATAGCGGGGGAGACGAAGCGCCAGCAGATCTGGAAGAAGAGGGGTGGTGGGAATCCCAGCATCATCTGGATGTCCTGGAAGTAGCTCCGGTGCCCTGGAGAGATGGGGAGTCAGCAGGCCGGCAGGATGGTGGGCGGGCCAGGGGCTGGGACACGGGAGGTGCCGAGAGCTTGGGCACTTACCGTAGATGTACATGATGGACACGCACATGATGCAGGAGATGATCACCAAGGAGAAGCTGGCTGCATAGTTGTCCATCAGCAACAGCCAGTAGATGCCTGCCTGTGGGCCAGGGGCAGCTGAGCTGGGGTGCCCGTGGCCTAGGTGCCCCAACCTGTTCCCCATATATCCCGGTAACTCAGGCCCAGGCTTCCTGTCACGGGTTTCTTACCTGGCTGGTGAGGGGGATGCCCAGCAGGAAGCCAGCCACAGCCACGCCCAAGGTCACGTAGGTCTTTTTCTGCAGGATCCACTCATTCCCCACCTCATCCACGATGGCTGTGACCAGCGTCTCCAGGAGGCAGAACTGCAGGATGCCACCATCAGAGCAAGGACTTGCCCCGCCCCAGCCCTCCCCAGGCCACCAGCCCTGCCCGGAGCTCATACCTGAGTGCCCAGCCCCAGCAGGATGAGCATGAAGAAGAAGAGCAGGGACCACACTGGGGAGATGGGCAGCAGCGTGAGGGCCTCGGGGTAAGCCACGAAGGCCAGGCCCGGGCCGTGGTCTGCTACTCGGGACACGTCCACCCCCAGGTGATTGGCCATGAAGCCAAGGATGGAGAAGATGACAAAGCCAGCGTAGACACTGGTGGCACAGTTGGTGATGCTGATGATAACACTGTCCCTGATGGGAGGAAATCAGAGGCAGAGTTCAGCAGATCCGCTGGCTTCTCTCCCCAACTGGGGCCAAGAGGAGACAAGGAGACAGGGCAAGCTTCAGAAACAAAGGTCCCAGCTCCTTTTCTGGTCTGCTCTGGGCCTTTTCTTTGAGATAGGGTGTCACGGTGTCACCTAAGCTAGAGTGCAGTGGCATCATCATAGCTCACAGCAACCTCAAACTTCAGGGCTCAAGTGATCCTCCTGCCTCAGCCTCCTGAGTAGCTGGGACTATAGGCACATGCCACCACACCCATCTAATTTTTCTATTTTTTGTAGAGATGGGATCTCGCTATTGCCAAGGCTGGTCTTGAATGCCGGGCCTCAAGCAATCATCCTGCCTTGGCCTCCCAAAGTGTGCTCGGGGCCTTTTTAAGTGAGCCTGAGGCTCTTGAGTGCTCACAGGCCCCTGGGACATCATTGTCCCCATCCCTCTTCTCTCTCTGGCCAGTTTCTCTCCCCATTCTCCAGTGACTCGGTCCAGACCCAGTGTTCCCAGGACATCAAGGCCATGAGTGGAAGGGGTCCCGGTGGGCCAGGGGGCTGCACTGGAGCCGGGGTCAGGCTGCAAAGAATGGCGGGGAACGGGCAGCCTCTAGGTAGCAAGGGCAGCTCACCGGTAACAGTTGTTGTGGAACTTGTTGTAGGAAGCCATGGTGATGAGCCCGCCCCACGCACAGCCCAGCGAGTAGAAGATCTGGGAGGCAGCGTCCCCCCACACCTGCAGGGAGCCATGGCGGGTGAGGAGCTGTGGGCAGAGGCAGGCCCCTCCCTGTCACTTTCCCCTCCATGACCCACCTTGGCCTCCAGGATCTTGTCCCACTGTGGGGTTACATAGTACATGATGCCTGTGAAGGCTCCCTCCAGGGTCACTCCACGGACAAACAGGATGGTCAGCACCACGTAGGGGAACGTGGCCGTGAAGTACACCACCTGGGTGCAAGACGGGCTCCATGACGCCTCTGGGCTTTCCCCACCCTGGGCACCATGCCCCTGGCCCACCACCGCCCTCTGGTCCCTCTCCCCCTCCCGTGTCCCTCCACTCCCTTCCCAGCCTGCCCCCAACACACGCGCAACCCAGGTGGGGGAGGCAGGGTCTTCTGGGTGGACACAGATCCTGCTGCGGGAGGATACTTGCTTTCCCCGAAGACTTGACGCCCCGGATGAGGCAGAGGAAGACGACCACCCAGGAGACACCGAGGCAGCCGAGGAGGGGCAGCCGCACCTCCCCGAAGTTCCCGATGTCATCTGACAGCTTCAGCACGTAGAGCCTGGGGAGAGGAGACTGTCGTTGAGGGCCAGCCCCTGCTGCCAGCAACAAACTCCCAAGACCCAGGGCCGGCCTGACACCTCCCTCCCTTGTCATAAGGTCCCACTGGCCAGCTTGTGTGAGGTGGGGGCCCCTGCGGGCCCATCACCCCCTGCCTGCTGCAGCCCCTGGGGAGCAGGACGCAAGTCTGAGTTCTGCAGCCTCCCCCAGGACCCTCGAGGGCTCCTGGAGATCACACCCCCGGCCTGGGCATTCCTCTTGTCCCTCATCAGGCCACCGCAGGCCTTTGCTTGGGCATTTCTCCCTTCAGGAATGCCCTCTCCTCATCCTATTAGGTGTCAGCTCAGGAAGCCTCTGTGAGCATGTCACCTGCGCTACTCTGCCCATCTCCAGTGAACCGAGGGAGGCAGTGGAGTGCTCAGCAAAGACTGGACCCAATTCCTCCCTCTGGGTGGCTCCGTCTGGCGCCCTACGCCACCCCAGCCGTGCTCTCCCAATCAGCCAGGCCCTGTGCTGGGTGCTGGGCCTGCAGACCTGCAGGGCATCACCCGGCTCTCAGGGAAGAGGGTGCAAGAGACAAGCAGGACTGCTCTGGGTGGGCAGGTCTAGGGCAGAGATAAGTACAGGGTGCTGCAGGGACGCCAAGGGGGCGTCTCAGTCCCCTGGGGAGAGGCATGGGTGGGAGGCGTCCGAGAGGAGGCGAGGCTGGAGCTGTGGTTTGAGGACCGGGGAGGAGGTGGGTGAGGAGGGGTGGAAGAGTGTACCAGGCTGAGGGAACAGCAGCAGCAGGGCAGGGGGTCAGGAAATGGCACGGCCCAGCCTGGGCACATGGGGCAGCTGAGTTAGGCTGGAACAGTGGGGAAAGACAGAAGGTGACAGGTAGGAAGGTACCTGAGTGTAAGAAGCCATGAGGGTGATGGGAAGCCTCTGAGGGTTTTGTAGGGACATTTTGATAATCCCTTGGCGCCAGACCTTGCAGTGGCTCCTGTCTCTCACTATAGAAAAGCCACAGCCCCTTACTGTGGCAACAAGGCCCTAGGCAACCCATCATCCCCTGCCCTGCTATCTCTTTGATCACCTCTCCTCCTGCTCTTGCTGCCTCTCCAGCAGCACTGGCTTCCTTGTTCCTTAAACATGCCAGGCAGGCCCCCTCCCCAGGACCTTTGCACATGCTGTCTCCTCAGTCTGGGGTGCTCTTTCCCCAAATATCTACATGCACACACACGCATGAGACCCAAGTAGTCACACAGGGCCTGTGCTTGGGGTAATGTTCTGCCATCATCATCTCCAAATTCTTAGCACATGTGAACATGTGTTAAGACATGTTCTTAACACAGGGGCCTCGTATTTTCACTTTGTACTGAGACCCGCACACTATATAGCAGGGCTTGTCCAAACGGCTCCCTCCCTCCCTCAACTCCTTCAAGTCTTTCCTCACGTGTCCTCTTCTCCAAGGGGCCTTCTCTGGCTACACTGCTGTACGTGCAGCCCGAGTCGCAGCCGGGCACCCCTCCCCTCCTCTGCTTATTTCCCTCCACAGCACTTGGTGCCTCTGTCAGACTATTTGGCCTAGTTATTTTGTTACCTGTCCTCTGTGAGAGCAGGAGTTTTTTGTCTGTTCTCAAACTCCTGAGCTCAAGTGATCCTTCTGCCTCAGCCTTTCAAGTAGGTGGGACTATGGGTGTGCACTACCATGCCCAGTTCATTAAAAAAATTTTTTTGTAGAGATGGGGGTCTTGCTGTGTTGCCCAGCCTGGTCTCAAACTCTTGGCCTCAAGCAATCCTCCTGTCTCAGCCTCCTGAAATGCTAGGATTACAGGTGTGAGCCACCACACCTGGCCTATGTTATTTTTTTTTTTTATTACAAGAGTACAGCAGTACAATACTAGGGATTAAAGCATTTAGAAGGCTAGCCTGGAAACCAAATAATGAATTCTAGCTTTATTTTTATGACGCAATATTTAGTGTTTTGTTTTGTTTTGTTTTGGGACCCCGTGCCTTTGAGATCAAACAATTAACCTAAGAACTTTCGGAACCTATTTACAAGTCTCTTCATATGGAACATCTCTGGGATCACTCTGTGCTATTTTGTATTTCTCCACCCACACATCCACATCTTATCTCCCCAAGCAGACAGTGAAGGCCTTGAGAACAGGACCCCCTAAGCTGTCTTTGCATCTCCAGCAGTGGCAGCGACTGTGAGCGCCCGTCACTGTCCTTAGTGAATCATGAAGCACTATGTCACTTCATCTTTAGGACCAAGTAGGCACTGTAGCAACCCCAACTTAACAGATGAACAACTGAGACTTGGAGAGGTTTGGTGACCTCCCAAGGCCACACAGCGAGTAAGTGGCAGAGCCAGGGTTTGAGCGAGGGCCGTGTGACCCCAGAGCTGCCATGAAGACGCTGGGGAGAGGCGCTGGGTGCCAGGAGGAGGGCAGCACAGGGCCATGGAGGTGAGAAAGCCCGGTGACGAGTGTAGGGCCAGTCGCAGGAACTGGACTGTACAACAAGGTTGTGACGCAGTGGCGAGGCAGGGAGGACGGCGAGTGAGAAGGGTGAGTGAGCAAGAGGCAGACATGGGCTCGGAAATCTGCCTTCTGTGCTTCTCCCACTTTAGAGGAGTCTCTTAATCTTTCTTTCGACTTGCTTCCCTCATTTGTGAAATGGCGATTTTTAAAATAATGCCTGCCCATGATTTTTAAAATAGTGCCACTACCTAACAGAGCTGTTGTGGGGCTCCAATGAGATCATGCAGTTTTCAAAGGGACATTGGAGAGTGTGGACGAAGGACACCCACACAGACAGCCCCATCAGCCCAATTCACACCAGGGACACCAAGCCACAGCTGAGCCAGAGTGGCTGGAGCACACAGATCCTGCCGCAGTGAATGCTGCCTAGCTCCTGAACCTCTAAACAGCAGCCTCTAGATCTGAAAACAGAGATAATATCTACTGAGATAATACACCCAGCACATAGTAGGTGCTCAGGAATCGGGGGTGCTTGCTCTGCTCCCTTCATTGAAGCCTGCCCGGGAAGCTGTCTTAAGGGGCATTTCCCAGGTTCCCCAGGAGGGGGCAGCAGGGAGCCACTCTGCCAGCAAGGAGTCCTGCCTGGGACAGCAGCCAGTTAGGCAGGCCCGGCTCCAGCCCCCGCTGCGGAGTTCTGCTAGCCCCCCAGCCCAGCCAGGCTTCCGACTTTACTGGCTCAAATCTCCAGAGTGTTGCCCTGGGTGGCTCCAGGGCTGGGAATCTCTGGCAGACAGGCCCCAGGACCACTAGGGCATCTGGGAGGGGCGAGCAGACTGAGGGGTGGGTGGGGTTTTGTGTTTCTGGGAGGTTCCAGGAAGTGTCATCATCCCCAGTCTGGATCAAGTTGCCCAGTCCACACCATGCCTCAAACGCAGAGCAACACCTACTTGGGCGTGAGCTCCGGGGGAGGCAGTGTCCCTGTGTCTGACTCCCTCTGAGAGCAGGGCCTGGAATCTAGGAGGTGCTCAAGAAATGATCTGTCCAGTGCCTGGGTGACAGTCTGCCCGTCCCTCACTGGGGCAGCAGTTCTCTTCTCCACACTGAGTCTCGAGCGCAATGGCCATGGCTTGCCTGTCTTTGGGAGCCTCTAGCCCAGCACAGAGGCTGGCACAGGGAAGCTGGGTCCTTCGGGGTTTGAGCAGTCGGGACTGGGCTTAGAGGACCTGCTGTGACTTCAGGTATCCCTGGGCCCTCATCCATTTCCCCTGTGGGTCTCTGTCACATGGCAGAGAAAGCCCCAACCCTTAGCCTGGCACAGGAAGCCCGTGCTATACAGTGCCTGCTGGCCTCTTCTGTCTTATTGCCCTGTCCCACCTGCCCCAGCTCCAGTCTGCCGCCCCCTGGCCTCTGCTCACCTGCTCAGGGCACTCACACCCCCGCTTCCTGCTCTCTCTTCCTGGGACGCCCTGACCACTTCTGCTTGCCTCGTCCCCTTAGCACTACGCACTACCCCTCTGCCCAGTCCACACCATTCGCCAAGGCTCCTGCCCCTGAAGTGACCAGCTATCTGTCTCCCCACTGGCTTGTGAGCTCCTTAGGGCTCCTGTGAGGGCTCTGGGCCGCTCAGGCCCGTCATGGGCACACAGGGCCTAGCAGTGCAGGCGCCATGAATGTTTGTGGAATGAATGAACGAGGCATCGCCACCCCTAACGCCCTCTGCCCAGGGGTTCCCCAACAGGACATGGGGAATTTCCTCTAGGATGTCCTGCTGTCCCTCCACCCACCAGTAGGGACAAGGGATTCCAGGACACCTCTAGCAGCAGCTTCCCTTAAGCCGGCCCTGGGACTCTGGTCTTTGTCACCTCTGAACAAAGTGCGCCAGGACGTCTTGATCATGACACCCCTGGCTCAGGGAACTTGTGTGGCTCCTTGTGTTCTGCAGTGCGAAGTGTAAGCCTAATTCTTGTGGCTCTCGGTGAAAGTGGTGCCGCCTCCTTGGCTCGCCTCAGCCTAAGAACCAGCTTCTGCTCATCCCGGACTTGGGGCCTTTGCTCATGCTCTTCTCCCCAGGACACCATCCCTTCCCTCGGCCCCCATTCTCCTCTGACTTGCCAGGTTTCTGGAGGCCCCTCACTGCTGCCCTGTAAGGACTCCCCAGTTCTACATCCCAGCTCCCGTTGCTCTCTGTCAGTCACTTTCTTCTCCTAACCCTCTTCAGCCACCTCGGCCCCTCCCAACCCCACGGAGGGCTGAGCGTGCACCGGCCTCGTCTGCAGATGGCAGCATCAGGGGGAGAGCAAGGCCTGAGGGTTGCCGCCAGGTTCCCTGGCCCGGCCCTGGGGGGACTCACCTCCAGTACTCCTCGCTGGGGCTGGTCCTCTGCAGGGTGTGGTTGAGCAGGTGGGAGAGGTTGCTGGGCCGGGCAGCGGGCCGGGAGCCGTTGGTGAGGTTGGCGGCGTCCAGCACGCTGGCGCAGTCGGGCGTGTTCCAGGGGTTATTGCAGTAGGCCCAGGGCAGCACGTGCGTCATGGACGAGAAGAAGTAGTAGAAGGCGATGCAGATGACCACGTTGTAGTAGATGCCGATGTACGTGGACACCACCATCATGCCATAGCCCACGCCTGGGGGAGGGGAGGGGCACGGTCAGCGCTGCTGGGGGTGGGGCGGGCTGGGAGGAGGGGAAGGAGGCGAGGTTAACAGTTTCTACGGGCCCCAGGGACAGGCTTTGAGGGAGGCCGCAGGAGGGACAGGTCAAGGCTTTGGCAGGGCAAGTAGGGGGCCAAGGAGTTCTGTGTATCCACGTGGTAGGAGGGGAGGGTGGAGGCCGAGTAAACATGGACCCCAGTGTGCGCCCATGGCTCTGGCCACTGATATGGCCCCATGGGGGTCGGCAGTGTTTGTACAGGTGGGCGAGTCAGCACAGCCCCGGGGCCTGTGTGTGTGAGCAAGGGCCCTGCCCCGCCTCACCTTTGAACAGGGGGCAGACTCTCCAGACCCCCAGGCAGCCCTGGCTTGCAAACTGGCCGAAGGAGAGCTCCATGAAGAAGAGTGGGATCCCGCAGAATATCAGCATGATGAAGTAGGGGAACATGAAGGCACCTGGCAGCAGGGAGAGGTCTGGCTCAGGGCGGGCTTGGGGGATCCCACCCTGGGCTTCCTGCTCAGAACCCAACAGCAAAACCTTTGCCATCAGGCAGGACCTGAGGAGGAGCATGCCAGGCGCTGAGCAGGAGCCTGGGTCTGAGGCACACTCCCCCCAGCCTGTCTTTGAACTTGACAGAGGCTCCCAGGAAGTCTGCTCTGGGCAGAATCCAGGCCCCAGAGCCACCATGTTTGGGTGGGATTTGATGGTTTAACCAAGCGATTTCATAAACATAAGTTGCTGGGATCCTTAAATATCCCTGAACCATTGTGTGTGTGGGGGTGTTGAAACACAGGAAATAGAACAGGGAGCCCAGGAGTTTGGGGTACTTTTCTCACCTCTCCTCACCTCAAGGGAGCAGGCTGGCAGGGCCAGGCCCAAACAACAGACTGCCAGGTTTGGGGTGATCTGCATTGGGCAAAGGGTGCCTACGCCAGGGGTGGGGCGCAGGAGACCAGGGCAGGAGGCCAGCCTTTATCTGCGGTGGGGTCTGCGCCAGGGAGAGGGTGGCCCAGGCCCTGATGGGTGGGCTCTCCCCAAGTGGGTGGTCCCTGCCCTGTGCCCGCCGGGTACCTCCCCCGTTGCGATAGCAGAGGTATGGGAAGCGCCAGACATTGCCCAGGCCCACGGCATAGCCCACGCTCGTCAGTACAAACTCGATCTGGTTGCCCCAGTTGCCCCGTTTGAGGTTCTGGTCTTTCTTGGTGGCCTCGCTGGGCACAGCACCATTCTGTGGGGACAGAGAGAAGCCACCATCAGCAAGGCATTTGTGTTCGGTGCCTGACCCCCTGGGCCTCCCGCAGCAGGGACACCATGGACCCCCCAACCCCTCCCCACCTGGGCTTCCCCTCTGCTGGCAGGAGCTGCAGGCAGGCCTGGCGAAGGAGGGGAGAAGGGGGTTGCGGCTGCCAGAGGGCATCGAGCAGAGCTTCCCTCACCAGCCCCCCAGCACCCCGTGCCAGGTGCAGCAGCCCACCTGAGGAGCTACTGCCAACGTCTGAGAGGTGGGACACTGAGGAGGGAGCTAGGGCCGAGAGCCCCTGGCCCCTCCACAACCTCCCCCGCCCTCTGGGTAAGGATCTGGGAGCAGCTGAGCCTCACACCAAGCAGCCAAGTCAGGCCGGGCACAAAGGGGCCTGTGTCCAGACAGCCCCCCCAGCCGTCCCTACCACATCGCCAGGCTGAGCACGCTGCCCACGGGCAGGCGACTGCGGGGGCAGGGATGCCAGACCCTCTCCCCCAGCTGAAGGCTTCTTCCTGGGGGCGCAAGGTGGGCAGGGCTGGCAGGGAAGTGGGGGAGCAGCTGAGCTGGGCCAGACCTGGTGAGGGTGTTGTGGGACTCAAGGTAGGGGGTCCCAGGGGAGCTGTCTATATTGCCCACGGCTGGGGAGGGGCCCTGGGGAAGCTGACCTGGGCCATGGCTGGGGAGTGCTGGGCCGTGAGTTGGGGGAGGAGACCAGAGTTGTAGGCATCATGCCAGACTTTGAGGACAGACTCTGCTAGGGAAACAGAGGGAGCAGTTCCAGAAAAGGGAGGCAGGGAGAGGGTCTCTCTGAAACGAGAGAGGGTCGCCAGTGGGGAGGGGGTGAGGAGGGCATTTGCCCCAGGGAGTAAGGCAGGCCTGCCAAGGGAGCTTCGGGGCGGGGCCGGGCCGAAGCCCCACTGAGGACAGCCCCTAGTAAGTGTGCTGCGCCCCTCCACCCTCCCCACGCAGGGCAGGAAATCAGGCCGCCCTGAACCAGAGCCTGAGGGGCCAAGGGGTGTCACTAAGGAGACATAGGGACCCGGAGAGTCACCAACAGAGAAACGCAGAGAGTCCCTGAGTGCCAGAGACAGCCTCCCAGAGATGAGCTATTGCTCTGAAAGAAACAGACGGGAGTCTCAGGACGCCCAGGATCAGAGACGAGCCGCATAGTCTTGGAGAGACGATGGTGACTTGGCGCTGACCCTCAGCTTGAAAGAGACATGTTCAAGGACAACAATCGCTCTGGCCAACAAGCAAGGCAGCCTGGTGTGTGGAAATGCTGACGGACAAAGATGGAGAGGACAAGTGGCCTCACCGGGCCCCAGGCGCCCTCACGCCAGCTGACTGGGAACATGGGCGCAGCAGGCACCGAGGGCTGGTGGGCCCTACATTCCCCATCAACCCCACAGGGTGCTGGCCCTCACGCCTTCTGAGGAGGTTGGGGACACAGCGCCAGGGACCGTGGGTCCCCTTCAAGGAGCACCCAGAGCAAATCAGCGGCTGAACAAGCCTGCGTTCACGCCTTCCTTCATTTATTCCTGCACTGACAGATCTAGCGACACCTGCTACGTGCCAGGCCCTGTGCCAGGCAGTGGGACTTCAGCAGTGCACACAGCAGAGAGCGCTCACCCGCTCAGAGCTGGAAGTCTAGCAGGGGAGCAAGCCATGGACACATTAAACACCCATCACCTTTAGATGCGACTTCAACGTGACCACAGAGGGGAATTTCTCAAAGCCACAGGAGTATGGAAGCAGGACAGGGAGCGACGGCAAGCTGAGGCCAAGACAGGCCTCCCTGATGAAAAGGCACACTGGGCCCTGGGAGGGGGTGACTCCTAGCCTGAGTGCACCCTCTGTGACAAGCCCCTGCAGAATCCTGCCTAAGCATGTCACCTCCTCCTAGGGCCTTCTTTGGGGCAGGCATAGCAATTCCACGGGGTCAGGGGGCCATATTTTGGAGTATATGAGGCCTGCTTAGGGAGGTTTATCCATTCCCAAACAAATACCAGCCAAATAGGGCTCCTATATGTTGACCCTACAATAATGGTTTTATTCTGTCCCAGGCTTGTTTACTTAGGGGCACAATGCCGGATTGTGGCAGCTACAGAGTACGTGGGTGGGGTCACAGAGCAGCAGTTACAGCTGTAAGAGGGACAACTGAGGGTCCAGGATGGCCAGTGGGGAGGGCAAAGGCAAGGCCCCCTGCAGAGACCCAGGTCCCCAAGGCTTGAAGTTCGAGGCCTCCCTCCAGGCCCCAGCAGCATGAAGGACAGACACCCCATCCTCCCAACCAAGTGCAGTGGGACCACACTTGGATCTCAGAGGTCTGCTCCTTCCCTGGCATATTGGGGGTGGGGGGAAGGGAGGGTGCCCCCAGCCACATGCCACAGCAGCTGTCTGCCTGAGTCTCAAGAGCCAGGTGCTGCTCTGTTAATGAGCCATGCAAGATCCAGTCCAGCCGTGTGGGGTGCAGCCCAGGGAGGCTGGAGTCCCCAGGACAGGACTGGGGCTCGGGAGTGGTGATCGGGCTCTGGCAGGAAGTCCCTGACAACACTAGAGGTCTGCCATGGACAGAGGCTCCCCACAGAAGCAGCGCCCATCTCCTCTGGCCAGGGCCTAGGAGCATCGTGGTGCCCTGACTGTGGGAACCTCACCCAGGGCCGGGCCTCTGACTTCCACTCCAGTGCGATCTATGCTCAGGCGGCGGGGCAGGGACGAGCTCTCAGTGGAGGACAGAGGAAGCCTACCTTTCTCCAAGCGAGTGGAGGAGGGGCTCTCCAACATGCTCCCTTTCTGCAGATGATTTCTGGGTGCTCTAGTCACCTTCCTTGCCCAGCTCTCCTCTGGGGACCCCCACCCCCACCCCCATCCCCCAGCCAACTTCTCTCCCAAGCAGCTAAGCTTTTTTCAATGCCGCATAACTTTTTTTCCTCCTTGCATAATCTTTCTTGTTCTAAGCCTCTTGTTTTTCTTGATCTGCCGGGTGGATGGCTGTGTCACTGATATTAACTGTCCCTGCAGTGGTCATTGGTTCTGAGGTGCCCATGAGAAAACCCCTTTGTGCTCACGGTTTGACCCAGACTGGCTACCTGTCTGCTTTAGCCAGCACAGCCCCGCTAACGGGCTGTGCTCCAGGCCTCTCCTGCCCCTGCTGTCACCCACCTCTGTCCCTCTGCTCTCCCTCACTCACTTCTCACATCTCAGCGAGGAATTAAACCACAGTGCATGATTCCCTCTGGGCTGGCCCCCTTCTCCAAAGGTTGCCTGGACAGCCCCTGCCCTCACCTCTGAGTCCCCTGTCTGTGCTCTGCCACCCCTCCCAGCAGCTCTGAAATGCCACTGCCATGGGCCTGGTGGGTGGCTTCCAGGACAGGCCTACCCTGCCCTGTCTCAAGCTCTCCCAGGCTGGGCTGAATGGAGGCTTTGGAGCTTTCCTTCCACAGCTGGGTGGGGTGAGCTGGCTGGCACACACACGGGCACACACACACACACACGCCCCTCAGATGGTCCCTTACCCTTAGAACTAGTCTTTGCAGCCCCAGTGTCCCCCCACTGCACAAGGACCTGTGATCTTTCTTGGGTTAGCAACCCCCACCCCATTCCTGACGAGCCGAGTGAACCCACTGAGCAAAATCTCTTACATAAGCCCTTTACATAGCCCTCCGCCTGGCTTATTTACTGCCCTGGATGAGCTCCTGGAATTAAGGCTGTTCAGCTCTGGGGACAGAACCTGGATCTCCCACTCTGCCCTAGGCTTGGCAGAGGCAGGACACCACGTGGGGGTGAGAACCCTGGTGTTCCAGAGCCTGCTCCTCCATTAACCCTGGGCAGGGCACTTCCACTCCTGGCATCTCAGCATCTCTACCTGTGAAACCGGGAGCTGCAGCATACAACCTCGGTAGGTTTACTAGAGTCGCAGACTGGACAGCCTCAGTAGGTCTGCTGGTATTCTGCAGCTCTGCCTCGCCGGGCATAGGTATTTTGCTATTTCTGACTCTCCCCAGTATTTTCCATTAGTTCCCACTAGCTTTCTAGATTATTTTCAAAAAACATTTTGTGCTTCTTTTCTGATATAAAAGTACAGTAAGCTTATTGCAAAAAGAAATTTTTTTTTGAAAAATACAGAAAAGCACAAAGATGAAACAAAGCCGTGAAACCCACTCCCAGAGCAACCACGACCAGCGCGAGGAGGTACAACCATCTTTCTTCTGTGCAGACTCTGAGAGCCCCGATTTCTGCCCTGGACTGGGACTCTGCTAAGGCTGTGACTCCTGCCCCCCTAGACCAGTGTCCAGTTTATGTTTTTGTGAATTGCAGCTCCTACCGCCTGCTCTTGGTGGACATGGAGGAACCCCGGAGCTGCCCTGGCTGGACATGTCCCGCTGGGACCCATCAGGCTTCTCGTTTAGGACTCTCCAGCCCCAGTTGTTTGCTCGTGGGATGAAGTCCCATCCAAGACAAACTTTATGGAGGAGAACAGGCAAGACCTCACATCCCAGACTGCCTTGGAGCCAAATCAGATCACTGGCAGCTTTCTCCAAGCCCCTGTGGGGAATTCGAGCGGAACAGCCTTTACAGTAACTGTGGATGCCTCAGAAGACTCCATGACCAGCCCTTGGTCCTCTTGTTCTTTTTTTTTCTTTTTTGAGACACAGAGCTTTCTTTCTTTCTTTCTCTTTTTTTTTGAGACAGAGTCTCACTCTGTTGCCCAGGCTAGAGTGCCGTGGCGTCAGCCTAGCTCACAGCAACCTCAAACTCCTGGGCTCAAGCAATCCTTCTGTCTCAGCCTCCTGAGTAGCTGGGACTACAGGCATGCGCCACCATGCCTGCCTAATTTTGTCTATATATTTTTAGTTGGCCAATTAATTTCTTTCTATTTTATAGTAGAGATGGGGTCTCCCTCTTGCTCAGGCTGGTTTCGAACTCTTGACCTTGAGCGATCCTCCCACCTTGGCCTCCCAGAGTGCTAGGATTACAGGCGTGAG